TGACACTCACGTAACACAATAAACAATAAGTGTTATCTGAATGCGTTGTTTGTTCAATGGTCAACATCTTGAATGGGTTTTGTCGACACTTTTGTTAGTTTGTTACTGGTTTCAGTTTATAACTCAACTATGTAATTTAGAACATTCGGTTCGATTCCTACGCAGGACAAAAATTTATTTATTTATTTTAAACTTAATGCACATATTGTACAAAGGCGGACTTAATGCCAATAGGCGTTCTCTCCCTGTCAACCTTCAGGTGATGTAGAAATATGATGCGGTAGGTGCAAAATAAAATATGAAATTTAACATAAACATACACAATATAAAAACACACATGGATAAATAAACCTACATAAATTTAATAAAATATATAAATACTCAGTCGGGTACTAGCGCTGTAACTGTTCCGTCAATTCACCCCGAAGAAGATCGAGCACTTTTCTCTTGAATGCAAGGCGATTTGTTGACAACCTGATTTCGGCAGGGAGGGCATTCCAGAGAAGAACTGACTGGACGTAGAAGGAGGAGTTGATGAAGTTGGAGATGTGAGGGGGGCATAGAAGAAGCATATTGTTGGTTGATCGAAGATTTCGATCGTGATTGGAGCATAGGAAACGGAAGTGGGGTACGAGGTATTCAGGTAAGGATGGAGAGTTGAGGAAAAAAAGAGAGAAGTCAGTGCTCGTAAATTGCGGCGCTGACGAATTGGGAGCCATTGCAGCTGGGAACGTAAAGCAGACACGTGGTCATACTTGCGAAGATTGAAAACGAATCGAATGCAGTTAATGAGAAGGCGATCTAGTTTATTGAGAAGGTCTGCATTCAGGTCGAAATAACACACATCACAATAGTCGATCAAGGGAATAATTAAGGACTGCATAAGCGTAGCTTTAGTTTTAGCGGGAAGGAAGTTCTTCAATCGATATAAAGCACGGAGACATGTGGTGACTTTCTGGCCGACGTGTGTAACCTGTGCCCGCCAGTCAAGTGTCGAGTCGATATATAACCCCAGGTTCTTTAAAACTGCACTATAAGGTATAGTCACATTGTTGTAGACAACTGGTGGGATGACCGCCATATCCAACCTACTTATCATTTGTTTGCTCCCCACGACGATCACTTGACATTTGGTTGGTTTTACCGACAAACCAAACCTCGTTGACCAGCTCTTTATAAAGTCCAAGTACTTGTTGACTTTGTCGATAGCGTATGTTATGTCCTCAACCCTTGCCTGTGTGTACACTTGTAAGTCATCAGCGTACAGGTGATACGTACACTGAAGGTGCTGGGTTATGAGATTAATAAATATTAAGAATAATAAGGGAGATAATACTGACGACCGAATGGCATAATGGTTTGTGTAACGGACTGCTATTCCAAAGGTCGCGGGTTCGATTCCCGCTCAAGTCAAACGTTTGTGTGCATGACCATTTAATGTTTGATTTGGTCTGGGTGTTTCTATGTATAATATGTATGTATTTACAAAAAAAAAAGTATATATGTATTTATATCAGTTGTCTAGTACCCATAGTACAAGCTCTACTTAGTTTGGGACTAGATGGCGTTGTGTGAATGTGGCACAATATTATTATTATTATTATAATATACCGCCTTGAGGGACGCCAGTGAGTAGATCACACCAACTCGACGAAAAGTCATCAATATGAACACTCTGTTGTCGTCACAAGACCTAAACATGAACATATCACTAGCGTTAGGCCAACACAGGCTATATTCCAATGCGAATGTGTGGCAATAACTTACGGCGCTACAACGGTCATGTCAAAGGGTATTAAGGACTACAACATCCGTATACTGTCAGACAGCATGGCCGTCCTAAAGGCACTGAAGGGCAACACAATGACCTCTGGTATTGTCTTTGAATGTCATCAAGCATTGGAGCAGCTTGCCACAACGAATGGGGTGCTCCTCCAATGGATTAAAGGGCATAGTTATTCACAAGGGAATGGCGCTGCAGATGAGTTGGCAAGGAGTAGCTTGGCAACCCCGGCTGCCGGCCCAACCACACTCCTGCTACTGCCTTTTAATCAACTTCGGTCCTAGGTTAGACAGCGTACTCGTGAAGCGCACAACTGAAGGTGGAAAAACTCGCCCGGCTGCAGACAGTCCAAACTGGTGCTGACTACAGTCTCTCCACGCCTTACTTGCAGACTAATCGGTCTTAGCAGACTACATATCCGAATAGTTGCAGGAACCATAACAGGACACCTAGCCCTGAACCGACAACTATTCATCATCAATGCAACGGACAGTCCTCCTTGTAGAAGATGCCTGAAAGCAGAAGAAACGGCCGCCTACGTAATCCTACGAATGCGAGGAAGTGGCCACACAACGGGTAAGTACCATACCTGGTACAAAATCGCTCCTAGAAGCCTGTGAACGCCCCAGGAGGCTTCTGCGCTTCAGAAAGGAGCTTGGTTGGCTCACCTAGCCAACCTCTTCTAGACGCATAAAGGACCACTCTCAAGTCTAAATGCGGAAATCTGAGCCTACAACCAATACCAATACTGTCTGACCAGACCTGTGAAAGCTATAGTGAATAACACCATGAAGAGACCACGAAACAATTACCATTACCTTTTTATCGGTAAACTTTGCTTTAGGGCACTATTGCGGCGTTTGACCTGGACTCATCCATTGCATTTTTCGCTTACGGTTATCGTAAACAATCCACTTTTCGTCACATGTCGCAAATCGATCCAAAGTTTTTCATTTCTGTACCGATTCAACAAGGCAACACAAGTTTCAACACGCATTTCTTTCTGCAGATCAGTATAATCATGAAGCATCAATTTTTCATATTTTTTTATTTTATTGATTTGATGCAAAAAAGTCAATATTGTAGTATGGTGATGATAAATCATGCCACTAATTCCTGGGCTTCCAAACATATGTGAAAATGGTTCTTGACCATTTTGTCTTTGCCTTTGGGCTGTATATGTATTAATTAATCATTTTGTTTTATTTTGTAATTGGAATGCTCATATATACTATATCGAAATGACAAGTAGGTTGACAGCTACAAGACCGTCAATTTCACTTGGTGAATTATAAAATAAATGTTCTAAATATGTATATACGCATGGGGTAATACAGTAAAAAATATCATCATTACCAGCCCATTGGTAAAAAGTATAAGGTAACCAAAATAAAATCTTCAGCGCCTTATAAAATACTGAGAGAAACTCTCACTATCAGGCTAAACAATCATAAAATCTAAATAAATACAATGTAAGCTGCTTGTTGGCAAATTTTATCGGTTGTACGTTGTTTTATAGATACGCAGAATACTTGCTTTGAATGATTTTCATGAGTGTGTTTAAATCATAAATATGAATGAATAATTAAACGTTTTGTTTCGATATTCACATCATAGAATAAAAAACGACGTGAGGGGTCTATGGACCCCCGGTCGGAACGAAATTCCTGTGGCTTTTTGGTAGACGTTTGCTATACAGTAATTATAATTTATGTTATAAAATATTAAGTTAATAGTGTTAATCTCAAAAATATATGATAAAATATATTTATTATGTTTAAAACAAACAATGATAAATTAAACACTGAATTATTTGGGACAAGAAGTGTCGGAAAAAGTCTTGATATACATTCCGTCTCGCTCCCATCCGCTCAGAGCGTGTTACGCGAGATAAGGATCTTCGTTCCAACAAATTAAATATTATTTATCCTCAAATTGAATTAATATAAAACTTATTCCCGAGAAAATCATTTTACCGAGTAACAGTTTCTAAACGTTTCTCATCATACTATTGACAATGTGCATACCCTCCTGCAGAGTTACAACACCACATACACAATACAGTAAAACAAAATGAAGAACAAAAATATGTTTAGCTATGATATTTTATTTATAATGTTTATTGGCAAAAATCAAATAGGTCATATATTTATTCATCAAAAATCATATATTTATAGAAACTAATTACACAGCTATATATATAAATATAAGTATTAATAAGATAAGCTTGTATGAATGGGTGGTTGGAATCGGTTACAATTACGACAGTGATTTCTGCTGTTTGCATACAAATCTTCTATTAGATTATTATTTGTTCCTCTGAAGACAAAATAGTCTAATAGAAGAATTGAATAGAATAGAAATAGAAGAATAGAATAGAATAGAAGAGTCTGTTTTTTTTTAGTATATCCCTTCCTATGCACAATATTGGCAAACGGGTGAGTCGCTCTTGTAACTTTAGTTGTATTATAGTTGTTCGTAATTATTTTTTTATTCTCTGTGAAAATTAGCGCTCCTTACTATATTTGGTAACCATTAAGCAAAGAAACATCCTTGTATCAATTTCAACATTTGGGAAAAGTTTCTTCTAATTAATCAGACTTTATTAGTTTATGTAGCTTCGAGAAACTCAAATCCGCCGATTCCTTTGCTATGTTCTTTAAATACTGCCTTAAATGAAAACATATTTTTTTTAACATTTGAGCTCATATGCATTATTGTCTTCGTGATAGAATGAATATGATAACTTGGTTAAATAAAAAAATGCGATTAAATTGTATTTCTGTGTAATATGTTTTATTCAAGTAAATACAAATATAAGGCACATAAATAAAAATATAAGGAAAAAATATTATATGAAACATGATATTCTATCACATTTCTGTCTTCGGAAGAAGGGATCGTCAAATTTTAACCTTTTGAACAGGTTTTAACGATAAAACTTTTTTTTCTTTAAAACTAGCTAACCCGCGCAACTTCGTCCGCATCCCGAAAATGAATAAATTTACCCTGTTTTTGCTACATTTTTTCCACCTCTACGACTCCTATTCGTCGTAGCGTGATGTTACATAGTACATAACCTTCCCCACATTTAAAGAATTATTTTATTTGAACCAGTAGTACCTGAGATTAGCGTGCTTAACCAAACAAACAAACTTCAACTTTATAATATTAGAATAGAAAATAAATGTTGCTTTTCATAATTTTGTTTGTAATTTTAATCAATAGATAGTTGTCTAAAAGATCCATTAACTCCAAACAGTTCATCGTAGTCCGTTGGTTTTCCAGGCCGCAGTGCTTCATTAGCTTTCAGAGACTCCTGTTTTTTAAACCAAGGCCTGTATTCTTTCAGCTTCACCAGCCATGCTCCTGTAAACCACGTTATAAAATCGATTTATTGAATGTTTAACTTAAGTTTTAAATAAAAAGAAACTCCTAATTAAAAAATGTTGCCCTAACAGATTGATAATCATAACCTTTTTGATTTTTTTACCTTCTAAACTAAATTGGGTAAATCTATTTATTAACTATGGATGACACGGACACACAGATAGACTTAAGAATTATAGACTAAGGGGAGAAAGGGAGATTGGGCCTTAGATAACTGATGAGAAGCTACGAAATAATCGCTTAACAAACTTTCTGTGAGGAAGTGGCATTACTCTGGTTAAGCTTTCAGCCCATACGTGATTCAGCATAGCTCTCTCATTTTTCTTACTACCTATATATCTACCTATATTTCTATCTTACTAGTCTTATCTATTTTTCATGGAAAATGGGCATTTAGGCTTGAAAAACCATCATCATCATCATTAGCCTTTAATAATTCACTGCTGGACATAGGCCTCTCCTCAGGTTTTGGCCTACTTACATAGTATGTTTATGGTATGGTTATGGTTGAAAATATCACTAAATTATTTTAAGATTCCCCAAATTCGAGGATTGAACTTACTGGTAATTTCTTCGAGTGAGGAACTAGTACCACCGTATTCCGAAGGCAATATATCTACGGGAATGTATTCATGTAAGCCGGTGTAGTCTTTATGGAAGAAGATCTAAAAGGGAACATTTGTAATGAATAAATTGTTTAAAATCGACCCTAACGTTCTATAATAAAACCTAAAAATTAAATTAAATTAATTACATTAAAACCTAGTTAATAATAATTAAGTTGTATATTATATTCAATTTAAAATTAAATTGTATAGTAATATTTATTATTAAACTCCAATGGTAAACAATAAAATATAAACAGACCAGGCACAATTTTTTAGTTATGTTTACGGGAAATCTTCACCAGTCGCGACGCCAAATGCGGTCGCCATGACGATCGAGTAGAGCGAGTTGAGGTAAAAAAACTTACATCAGGCCCTTAGCCTGTGACCACGGCCGGTGCATCCTAGTCGAAACGTCAGCCATTTCAAAGGTATGTACTTAATACCTATCGTTGATTCACGTAAACATAAATATAAACAGGGTCAAAGGGACATCGTAACGAATACTGAAATAGTGTATTCAGACCATGTTTCTGAGTCGAAAATCATCGGAATTTTCTGCCGGAAAATTCATCAGTATTGTTTTTATAATTTTTCTTTTTTTGGTTAAAAATGATATCACAATAAGTGAACAGAATATTTAATCAAAAATAAATAAATACCGCATACGATCAAAAACTGCAATTAATCAAACAACCGAAGCGCGCGGGGCCTCCCCTCCGGCCGCCAACTTGTGTTAGTGTGCGTAGACTGTTTGCACTGAATACACATGTAGTTATTACTTTTGTGCGATACCTACGGTGAATGACCTTTGCCTTTGACAACTGATTGCATAAAATTCCAATGATTTTAGACTCAGAATGATGGTCTGAATTCACTATTTCAGTTTTCGTTATGATGTCGCCCTTACACCCTGTAGAATATGGAATATTTTATGGCACGCTATGGATTAAAAAATAATTTTCTTTTTTAGGTAACTCTTTCTTCTCTCAACGAAAGAAAAGTATTATTATATTAGTAATAATATTTTCTCTGTATATAGCTGGTGAGAAGCATTGGACATGGGGACTTGTGGGACTTTAAATGATATTGTGAAATGAAAGCGTTAATGCAGAATCGTCGTGGTTTGTTTGATTTTCACAGCAACATCTACTAGATCACGTTCCAAACTATGTCATGCACAATGCGCCCTGCAACGCCATGCGTTTCTATAAACGGGACTGTACTATGTCATAGCAACGTCACAAATAGCGCTAAGGACCTTACTAGGCGCTTTATGCGCCGCTACTTTCGCCGATTCGACGGCAGACGCCCCAGCCCTCGCACGATGCTTTCTCCCTGAACGAGACCTTCGCGAAGCTCTTCAGTAATTGACTTTGCCTTAAATAGGTCTTAATGTAAATGGTGTTTACTTACTCGGTTCTTGATCTTTTCCTTTATAAATGGCTTAACAATGTTGTAAATTGCATCCACAAGGGGCGATGCGTTTACTACGTGCACTTCTTTTACTTTTAAAGGATATGCTTCCTGAAAATATAAGAATTAGTTTAGATATAGCCATGAATTAGGCGATATGTTTTCGATACAGGACAGAAGTTAGGACTTTATTAAAGATGGTTGTATCTTCTTCTATCTAAAAGATTAACCGGACAAATATGAGTTTGGCACGTGTACAGTGGGGCCGGGCCATTGCAGGCATAGGTCCTGGAAGTCTTTTACACAACTATTCAAAACAGGAGTATAATGTGTCAGAGTTTCTTTTTAAATACCGGTAACCGGACGGTACATCGATAAGTACCGTCTTCGAGTGTGTTGTATATCGTGTCACAAAACCTTTTTGAGTTTTTGAAGCGTACATAAACCAACTTAACATTTATATATGTATATAAAAGAGTATTTCGTCAAAGCTAATAATAGCCTTGATATAATAGATCATCATATCATATCTAGCTTTCATAGTGCAAGCTCTGCTTAGTTAGAAACTAGTTAGATGGCGTTGTGTGTGAGATGTCCGAAATATTTCAAAATATAATAGATATATTACATACCTATCGTGTAATATACATAATTATATACACAAGATACACACATCACACGTCTAAGCAAGATGTACGGTTTTGAACTTTTGATCGCTTTTTACTATTGTAATATAGAAATATTTTTTCACTTTAATAAATACTAACCAAGCATTAGGCCAAAATCTTGTTTCTAAGGAGAGGTCTTTGTCCAGAAGTGGACTGTTAAAGGCTGTTGATGATGATGATGAACTAAGCATTCTTTAATTTATTAGTGACTAAAGCAACCAAATCCTTCATTCAATTGTTCATTTAATCACAATAATTAACAATATGTATACCGTAACATACGTAGTATAAAATAAAGTTAAAACGAAATTAAATTTACATATTTTACAAAATTAAATTACCACATTTTTTTATTATTATTTTGTAATTCAATTCATAGTGCCGCTGTTGTTTAAAATTTTTTATTCGCATCCTGCAGCAATGAATTTCATCAAGATTTTCAGTTGATGGGTTATAGACACTCCGTCCAGTTTCTCTAGAACACGTCTCTGGAGCATGTCCCATGCGTGCTCGATGGGATTGAGGTATGGCGATTGTGCAAGCCACGACAACACCCGGTAAGTATTGCTATCCATTGCTAGGTACTCTCTGGTCCTTCGAGCTGTTTGCGAACGAGCATTATCATGCATCAGGGTGAACATAAGGCCACAACATATCATTCATCTTCAACGTAAGTTTCAGCGTTCATATTGCTATCTACAAAAACGAGCTCAGTATGTCTGTTCTTCAAAATATCCGCCCATACCATCACTGTTGAGACACTGTAAGGGTGAAATTTCTGGAAGCATCTCAGCCGTTCAGCATTTCCTGGATAAAGGTACACTCTTACCCTTCTCGTATCAGGCCTAAATCCAAACCGGAACTGATCTCAAAATAAAACTTTATCCTATTGCTCCTGGGTTCAAGTGTTACCTACACCATTCGCTTCGGCGTATAGGTGGGCACTTAATTGGGAGTCGTGATTGTAGGCCGTATTCATGCAGGCTTTTTCTCACACACCGCTTGAGAATTGTAGCTTTAAACCTATCTCTCGGACGGTTAACTGTCGAGTAGTAATTGTACTCCTTCAACGTCTTGGGTGCTGGTCACCAGGATCCCCTGAATTAATATAACGCTGCCAAAGACGGCAAATCATGTTCCTATTAACACCAAAATGCCGAGATACTCGGGACTGATTTCTTCCCGCTCGTAGCATTCCTATAACAGCTCTCTGGATTTTATCAGCAGTCAAATGGCGTCGCTCCAGTAACAAAAAATGACTTGCCACTCAATTTTTTCCAAAACTTTATACAGTAGAAACTCGATTATCCGGCCCTCAGTTATACGGATTCGCGATTATCCGGACTATAAACTGCGACCAATTAAATAATTAAGTAATATTGAGCCAAGTTACAAAATGTTTAACATATGTACTAAAAGTCGAATTTATGCAAGCACGAACGAGTCGGAACTGGCATTACCCCGCCCGCGCCCCACGGAATCGCTGCTCCACGCGTTTCATTATTGTTTTGGTTAGTTAGTTTAAAGTAAAATTTTTGCCTCCTAATGTGACATCCTTGCTACAACCAATGGATCAAAGTATTATTGAAACATTGAAACGACTTTATAGAAAACAACTTTTACGTAGGTTGTTATCTGTTGATGAAGATAATGTAGAAGTCGTTTTATCATTTTTTAAGGGAATGAATTTAAAGGAGTGTTGTTACATGGTTGTAGATGCGTGGGATTTGATTGAAAGGAAAACTTTAAACAAGGCTAGGAACAGAGTACTTAATCGGGAGAATGAAAATTCAATAACCAATACGGATGATTTTATTTTGAAGGATATTAATGAGCTAATGTTAAAGATACAAATATGCCAGGATTGTGATGATGATGATATCAAAGAGTGGGTCACTTGTGACAGTAATGATCAAGGTTTTCAGATTATGTCGGATGACGAAATCGTAGAAAACATATTGCAGATAAATGAACAGCAGGAAATGCAAGAAGATGAAACAGAAAAAAATCTAGACGTAGAAAATGATGCAGGACCATCTCATGATGAAGCACTTCAGGCTCTGGAAACAGCTCTCAAATGTTTTGAAAAACAAACAGAGAGTGATACTGTAAGTTTATTACAGCTGAAACGAATTCGTGATATAGCAGCAATGAAGAGAAAAAGTAGCTTACGTCAAATACCAATTACCAAATATTTTAAACCAAATTAAACTTATTATTAAATTATTATTATTTTTAATTAATAATATTACATTACATTAATGTATTATTTATTAATAAATATTACTATTTTTAAACTTATTTTATTTCACAAAACCCGCTTTTCTTCATACATTCGATTATCCGGACTTTCGATTATCCGAATCCCTAACGACAACAATTAATCCGGTTAATCGAGTTTCCACTGTATTTCAAAATGAAATAAAGATTAGATTATTTATATAAATATATAGATATGATAATGATGAAATATATAAATATGTAGTTTAAATATATTATTTATATAATCTAAGGATAAAAGAGATACATTCTACCAAAATTATCAAGCAGAGAAAACACATAAAATCGGCAAAATAAAACACAATCGAAAAGTTTCTATTTTTAAAATTAGCCTGTATATGTCTCCGACAACAAAAAAGACTGTATATCAATCTACTTTGCGAAGAAAAAAATTAACTAACATATAGTTTCTGTAAATTGCGTGTTGCTTAGATTTTTTTGATGTGTGTATTAGGATGTGTAGTGGAAAGTTCTTTTAAAAGATTATATAAAATAAAGTAAAAATTGTGAAGAATAAAATGCACTTACTTGCAGACAAATTAAAAATTTCTTGATCATAGTAGGTGATATTTTAAGTATGTGGCTAGGAAGTAAAATGGAAGCGTCAAAAATAAACACGTGCCCGGCGACTCCTTCAGTCTCCTCCCGCAGTCTAACATCAGCAACCATCATTATTATTTTGAAAGCATCTAATATTTGGTGTGTCTCCAAATTCTTGTCGAGCCCTGCAATTCAAAACTAAACTGTTATGAATTCATTCCCTACCGAGTATAACCTTTTTGGAACGAAGTTCCATATTGCGCGTTACCCGCTCTGAGCGGTAAAATGTGTAACAAGTTTTTTTCCGACACTTCACTTCTTATACATATATATAAAACGTCTACTAAAGGACAAAAGAGACCCTTACGTCGTTATTTTTTTGAGTAAGGAACAATTAATACACAAATGTATTGCCGGCAGAAAATAACAGAATTAGTGGGAAATGAGAGGAGAATGGGGGTTTTACTCGGTTTATTTCTAGTTTGATGTAAGAGTCTTGTTTCACAAATGACCGGAGAGATACCGGTCTCACAGAAAAAATTACAGCGGCACTCCGGATGTGCCGACAGAAGTGAAAACTTGAAAAAATGCCCAACGCGCCTAAAGAAGTTTTCCCTTCAAAAATCCTCCTCCCCGAGATTCAGGGTCGTAATTAAAAATGTAGAAAAATTGCTTATTTATATACTAGTCTGTTCATTTTTTCCATGTGTATTAAATCCATTCCGTGAATATATATATTTTTAACAAATGATGAGCCTTTTGTGTTAACTCCAAAAAGAGTCAAGTTCTGATATTGTTGCTTACTAGACTATCTCTGTCTTTTCTCTGCGTTTACTGCAATGCTCTTAAGGGCGTAATATCCCTATATTATGCCTCAAAAATACTCTATATTTACAACTACAATTATCGAACTCTGACTGATAGATCTAGAGATTATTTTGTTTAACAAACAAAATACCCATATAGCTAGAGAAACAAGCTAAAACATCGAATCGAATTTCATAATATTTAATTACGTTTACGTCCCGTACCATAATAGATCACAAACTGACTGACCGACTCACTTAGTCAGCCTGTGACCATACATGATCACTTTAATTCCCTTACATATAGATAACGATATTATTACCTAAGCATGTCTTTCTTACTTACGAGTACATATAAAAATTATAAATAACTTACCTCTGCACACTGTGATTCGTCTTCCGCTAGGTGTAAGGCCTGGCAACGTTGGATTTTGCCTGAAAACATGGACAGTAATTAAACGAAGTTTTGTTGAATGTAATTTGGTTTGATCTGTCTCACCTTTGTCTTATCCTTGGCTGACCACAGCGTTCAAAGACTACACAAAACATAACAGGGAGTATCTTATTGTGATCAGAAGGGAAATTTATTCAAAATATTTAACACTAGCTCCACCGCGGCTCCGCCCGCGTGTTTGTCGGTTTTGGCGGTAAAAGTACCCTATGTTATTCGCTGATATTGTAGCTTTTCTTTTGTGAAAGATTTTTTTAAATTAGTTGACCGTACCATACTAATTTATAAATGTGAAAGTGAGTTTGTTTGTTACGCTTTTACGTTGCAGACGTTCATGGGCGGAGATGGTCACTTTCCATCAGGTGACCCGTCTGCTCGTCTGTCCCCGCTACCATACATTTACTAGAGTTTAAGCAGATAGCTTTTTGGCCCAATACCTGGCTAACCTTAAGTTCGAATAATCCAATGTTGGCTGCCGCATATTATTGTATAAAATTACGAGATTAATTAGAAAGTAACTCCACTGTATCTACTCGTAACTAATAAAATTATTTGAATGAACTAGTTGAGGACTGTTAAAGCTGAAAGAGCTTGATACATGATTTTGGTTTGCAGCAGTTTTATTTAGTAGCAGTTAGTATTGTTGTATGTTGTATGTTTATGACTTATTCTGCAATTACTTTTATGAAGTTGTGAAAAAACCAACAAGTAATTAATCTCACTATCAAGTAAACCATTATTGTCAGCGACTTTGCTTAAGGTCGCGAATCGTGACCCTTAGGTACTTTGTAGACGGCTAATACAATTTAATACATATTTTGAAATTAAAATAGAAAATCAATTTAGAAATAAACTTGATAAGTTTATTTTTAATATGCAGTTTTTAACCTGACATACCGGTGACTTTAAATTTGCCGTTCATATTAACACAGAAGAATATTTAGTAAAATTTATGAGAAACCCGCATTTTATTTTAGTATCACACGGTACAAAAATATTAAGAAACTAGCTGACCCGGCGAACTCTGTTCCGCCTTAAAGGCAATAAATAAGCCGATTTTCGAATTTAGTAAGTTAATTTTTTTCTTAGAAAAAGAAATGAAGTACATTAATCATTTATTATTGTTTCTGCATTTCAGTACATAGGTTGCTCTTCACTTAAGCACCTTTTGATACACGTCATTTTTTGTTTTCTTATCAGGTGCAAAAACAAACAACGCAGATGGTCTTCCGACCCGTGAACATGCCACATATAATTGACCATGGGAAAAACATGGATGTTCTAGATTCAAACCACAAACTTTTAAGAATTGGCCTTGTGATTTGTTGATGGTCATGGCAAATGCAAGACGGATCGGATATTGAAGTCTTTTAAATTCAAACGGCAAATCAGTTGGGATCATCGGGATCCTCGGAATGAGAACTTCCTAACCTTTGAATTTTCCTTTCAGTATCGTTGCGTAAATTACATTGTTCATCAATTTTCTAACCACCAAACGCGTACCGTTGCACAGTTTTGGTTGGTTTATGTTTCGAAGCATGATTACTACGGAGCCAACCTTTAGGCGTAAATTGTACGGTGGTAAGCCAGGCACATCCAAGGAGTTTAAAAATTCAATTGGATAGTTGGTGGCTTCATCTTCATTTGTGACGCAGTCAATAGATTTGAATGAATGCATTGTTTCAATGATCTTATTTTGAATTACATAGTTCAGGTCGTCTACATCTTTATTCTTAGCCGCTAAAATTGCTCGCTCACTCAACCATTCATTATTTTTGTAGTTAGAAATAATGTCTTTAAATACATTGTTGATAAGTGCGTCTTTTGATGAGACAAAATTACAGAAATTATTTGGAAATGATATCAATCCGCTCGATTCATCGACAGGTACTTGACCATTACCGATAGTCAGCAATTGCTCAGAGAAATCTTCAGCAGATGTATCATTAAGCAATGCAACTCTCATGTTTGTTGTCAGCCGCAGTTTCTTCACATAACGCCATAGACTCGACGATTTGAGGCAAGCGTTTATTTCTGGCAGTGTTTGGCGGAAATCGCCAGACAGTAAAATCATTCCGTATATCTTTCAATGTCCGGTTAAGTGCTTCTAATGCACGTTTATGCGCCATTGTGCATTCGTCCCAGATGATGATTTTCGATGCCGATAAAACTTTGGCCAATGCTGAATTTTTCGTAATATTACATGTTGGTTCTTCAATAGTTTAAAGATTTAACGGTAATTTTAATGCTGAATGAGCCGTACGGCATTCTTCTAACAATGTGGCTGCTATTCCAGAAGAAGCAAATGCAACCGCTATGTTGGATCTAGCACGAACAGTGGCTAAAGCTACTGATATGAGGAATGTCTTGCCTGTTCTACCAGGGGCATCTAGGAAATATAAACCACCATTTCCATTATCGATTGCCTTCATTAAAGTATCATAAAATTATTTTTGTTGGGAATTCAACAGGGGTACATTCTTTTGAACTACTAAATCTAATTCCTGGTGATCATATTCACGTTCCCGTTCAAATTCTCGATTAAATGCGTCATTCATTTCACGATTGGGCGCTGGTATTCCTAACCTGATTAATAAACTACCGCACATGAGGTAACACATATCTCCGATCAAGAGTAAAGCACGATTATGTATCTCCTCATTCATTTCAACATCGTGATTTCTGGAAGTGATACGAATTTGATGTAAAATATCTTCTGACATATCCTTATATTTGTGCCACTGGTTACATGGGTTTGATGGAAAGCATGTCGAAATTATGATAGCGAATAATGTGCGTATCTGACTTGGAGATGCAGAGATAATGGCTTCAGCGATTGTCGTATCCCAATGGGTATCGTTTTCTAATAAGTTCAGTTCTTCACATGCAGCACGATATGTTGGGAATATTACACCATTAACAGTCCGTAGTGTCTCAAATGACGTTGGCCCACGCACATTTACCAGCAACAACCGCAAATAGAAACATTCATCATTCTTTGGATGAACTGTATACATACGACAGAGAGAACGCACATCCGGATACCCAGGAACCGCATCGCCTTGCTTCCGTCTTTGAAAATTCTTCGATGAAGCATTCCAAGTATAATAACGTGGCATCTCCGAGTAAAACAAAGTTCGTGCAAACGGATCGAACGAAACTGGTCAATGTAGTTGCTGGAGGTGTTTCAGCACGTTGCATAGCATTAGAAGTCGTGAAATATACTCGTTGACCATTCTCCAGATGCACCGCCAAATGCACAACAGTAGGCTGACGTTCGTGAATAGGGAATGCGAATATACGCCAAATCGCTTCATTACAGTTTACATAACGACCAACTTGATAGCGTGAAATTTCATCGTTTGTATTTGAGGATTGCAATCCAAAAACCGCCATATCGCTGCCTTTCGTGACATATTTGCAAATATATTTTATGGACTTTACTGAATTGCAATACTTAATGTTGCAATGTCTTAAACGTTTTAGAAATAAGTGGCGAATATAGAACAATCCAACTGTTGTCGACAACGAAATCCATTCTTTTCACTATTGTTGTGACAGTTCCACCGTTGTCATCTGGTGATCGACGCGATACAAAAAAAAAAACGGAATAAATGGTATCCTATGTCCGTCTCCTGGCTCTAAGCTACCTCCTCACCCATTTTCAACCATATCGGTAAAGCCGTTGTTGAGTTATAAATAGTGTAACTAACACGACTTTCTTTTATTATAGATAGATTAGCATCACAAAGTTGACTCAAGAACTCGCAATTTGTAGACACACTGCAATCGGTAGGCGCGCAAACCTCTCTATCGGTATCATACTCATACTTCGCTACATTTAATTGATAAATAAAGTACCTAACATAATATCCAAATACTAAAACTTCACTTAATTAAAGGGCACGTTTGAAATAAGTAAAAAATACATAAATCTTTAGTGATATGTACAATCATTAATAAAAAAAAGCAACTAGAATTATTAATTATTAACTTACCACTACTGTTTTACATCTATTTTAATAAATGTCCAAAATGTAGACTACATTTTCTAGATATTATCTGGATTCAAATGAATTCAATTCAGTCTAACGACTTATGGGTTGTGATATGACCACCAATGTACGTTAAAAAAAAATCGTCCCGATAAGAAATTTATGTAGAGTTGGGTACAAAAATTAGAGAAACGAAATTGAATTAAGTAAATTTTATTTATCAAGTGATGTCTTATTTATTAGTTATGTCTACATAAACTCAAATACCTATAGTTATACAGTAAAGTTTAAAAATTAAAAAATAATCCCACTAAATAACCATAGAATAATCCGATTGTTTTTTCTTTTTTTATGTCAGAGGGGGCAGAAGTATTTTAATTTAGTTGGAACGAAGTTCCTTATCGCGCGTTGTGAAAGGGGGCTAGACGGAAAAAATTCTTACGAAAATTGGTCACGACACTTTTTGCTATAGTAAGCTATTGTAAGCTGTGCGGCGTCGCATGTTTCACTGTCTGTCTCTCTCTCTTATAGAAAGCAAGCCAGATATTTTCATTTCTATCTTTTTATGTCAGTCATTCAGCGCCATCTATCGAATAGATAGGAAATCATTTCTCAAGGAGATTTTACCAATGTATAAATTGTTTTAATTAGAAACCAACTGAAAAATATGTAGGTAATAGCCGCTTTCATAGATGGCGTTGTAATTAAAATGTGCCGAATTTACTCGATCGTTACAACTTCGTTCCTATCGGGTGTCCCACGACACCACACGGCTTTTTTTTAGTACAACTAGGTTCTTACTAATAATCAGTCAGGTGGTTAATATACAATAAAAACATATATTCCATATTTGAAAATAATCAAATCACAGATTGACAGACTGATATTTCTCGCCTTTGCTTAACACTTCGGCGAGTCTATCGCCCAATATATTCAACTGCCTGTTTAATCAATTTTAAAATATTGGACGGAATACCGGCCTGAAGTATAAATGCAGCTTTCCATTGGTGAAAAAAATTTTAAAATTGGTCTAGTGGTTTAGGCGTAAAAGCGTAATAAACAAACAAACTCACTTTTACATTTATAATATAAATATGAAAGTTCGGATTGTAACGATTGCGGGTCGTGAATGATGCGTGTTTCTAACTTATCCACACTAAACGTACTTTACGGAAATGATACTCATAATGAGTACAGTATAACAGTAAGAATAATAATAGCCTTACACATCTCACACACGCCCATTTGCACCCAAACTTGGCAAAATATATTTCTAAATACATACTTACATACTACCACAGAACAAAGGATTGTGGTCATTACACAATTATTTGTCCTGGGAATCGAACCCACGACCTTAGGCTTAGCAATCAGGGCCACTAACCACTAGGCCTACAGGCCAGTCTATGAAGAAAAGAATAAGAAAATAAATACAAGAATGTTCTTACGCTCTTATCATTAGATCCATTAACTCTGGCCTGGTGATATCTCTGTTTGTGAAGAGCTCTGGGCACGCGGTCCTCATAGTGAAGTACATGTCCATCTTCCGTTTGCATTTCTCCATCGAAAAGCTGCAACCTCGCAAGAAATTTAACAGGAAGGAATCCTCTAACAAAAAGAAAAACAGTTGTTAACCTTCTAATGTACATTACATTACGAATATTGACGGAGAAGGGGTTTTGTGTAACAGACTGTTATTTAAATCAGTTGTCTAGTACCCTTAGTTTTGGACTAGATGGCGTTGTGTGAATGTAGTAGAATATTATTAGTATGTATTTACAAAAAAAAAGTATATATGCATTTATATCAGTTGTCTAGTACCCAAAATACAAGCTCTGCTTAGTTTGGGACTAGATGGCGCTGTGTGAATGTGATAGAATATTCTTTATAATTATTATTATTATTTTGTATTATAATTTTTATTTTCTCAGCTTTTTAGCTGGTTCCACCGTATTTACGGGCCTATACCAAGTAAATACAGCATGTGGTGTGTACATTATGTTGGTGTGGTGTCATCTAACTGCATGAATAGTCTGACGATTCTACATGTGTTTAATATCGATGCTTCCTGTAAACTTATACAAACGAACTCTGATTAAGCTATGGAGAAGATGGTTTGGAATGATACCAGTCGTGGAGAGGACTATGGGGACTATGTAGACGTTATGTTGTTTCCATATTCTGAGCACTTCTTCTTTCAGGTCAGCATACTTGCTTATTTTTTCGGATATTGTTTTTTATAAAGTATGGGGGTTTTGGGACTGCAACATCTATAAGGTATGTGATTTTCGTAATCTTGTCTTGTAGGGTTATGTATGGTCTATTGAAGTGTATGGTTTTATCTGTAAGTATAGCGCGGTTGTAGTATATTTTGTGCGTGTCATATTCTAGGATAGTTTGTGGTTTAAATTGATAATAGGGAGTTTTGGTGTCTTGTATGAGTGAGTGTTTGAGTGCTAGATTTGATGAATAATGTTTGCAACTTGATTATGTCTGTGAGTGTAGTCTGTTTGTGCGAGTGTTGTGCATGCTCCTATTATGTGCTGTATAGTTTCACATTGACTGTGACATCGGCGACATTTGTCATTTGTGAGATTATTATTATTATTATATTATTATTATTATAAATATAAAAAGTATTACAAGTTTAGGAAATATCACTGTTCAAAAGTTTTTTGGAGAACATGGACTAATCCTAGTCTAGTCAACTACTGGAATAGTCGGACTTCCATCCAAGGGTTGTGCACAAACTTTTATGTAGATATTGCGGCCATACCGAGAATCGATACGCCACCGTAAATATATTAATATACATCACAAATGATAAATTTCATGATTCTGGGCTAGTGGATCTATAGGCTTAAATTAACCTTCGAGTATCGAAATTGTTTGGAAAATAAAGGCTTAATGGCTTATAAAACAAAAGAAAACAGTAACATTACGTGTAAAAATATCAGTCTATCCCAAACTAGTCAAAGCCCGTACTATGGTAACTAGACTATTGATAAACATACTTGTATATTTCTAAATACTATTCTAAATACTTACATATTATAGATAAATTACACCCAGACACAGAACAAATGACCGTGCTCATCACACAATATTTGCCCTGGGTGGGAATCGAACCCACGACCTCCGGCTTAGCAGTCAGGGTCACTAACCACTAGACCTACAGGCTCGTCTGCATTAGTCAAAAAGAACTGTGTCGCAGCCATTGCCGTCTTCAGCCAGTACCGCACTTCTAGCCTGGGGCCGCCAGAGTTCCATTAACCACAATATAACTTACTCGTAATAAGAGACGGCGAGAGAGTAAAATTAATAGAACAATACAATACTAAATCAGATTGAGCGTGTGTGTGTGTGTGTGTATAACCTATAGGTACCTATATATGTATATATAAACTATGATCTTTGTATTGTGATTTTCAAAATTTTCATTGAAAACCATTTTAACGATTTTATTCAGATATTTCGTTCTTAAGCGTGACTTTGCTGTCCTGTATGAAAACTTTACGTAGGTACTGTAAGTTAAAGCCATTAACCTGGATCAAATTCAAAATATCCAAGTATATTCTGCGGTAATAGCTTTCCATACCATGTAACTACTGTGGAACGCGATAAAACTTATTATATAATTATAGGAGAGGCCTATGTCAAGCAGTGGACTATCATAGGCTGTTGATGTGTGATGTGATGTGATATAATTACTTGTCCTATCATATAACCGGCAACGCTTTAGTGATCAATACCTACTGAAACGCAAACTCTTTACCGCAAACGTAACAATTTAATACGGATAATGAAAACAACTATAGGCTGTTATTGAGTGGTATGTGTTGTCGATGTCAATTATAAAAAACAACTGTTCATGCCATCTTTAGGATGTCAGCCATGCCATGTACAATGATCTACATATCATCTCTGTTAAAAATATTTAAAAAGAGCGATCATTTGCTCCTTTATACAAGCCGAAGTTTTATTGCAAATAAGACAATCGTGTTTACAAAAATCTGTGATGTTGTTTAACAATATAATATTCTAAATAACGGATGTTAGGGAAACGCTCACGGAAACGAAGTATCTACTAACGATACCTTTGGTGATCGGTCAGAAATAAAACGATAACGTCATTAAGAAAATGAAATTAACCATTTTTAACGTACCCATTTCATCAGGTAAGTGAGGCTGCTTCTTCAGCCAGTCCTTGATAGCAGCTAAATCATTTTCCCTGGAACTTACAACTTCATGCAGGTCCTCTCTGATTTTTGCTAACAGTTCACCATGTGGTTGGACCAGCATCACAGAATCTGATGACATTTTGTTTCTAGAAAAATTAAAATGTATTTTTATATTATTAATTACATAATTAATTTTAATTTCTTCATTTTAATTAACGTGCTATGTATGTACAAATATATCCGTATTATTATTCTCGGATTTACGACTATTATAATAAAAAATATAATAATATAAATGAAACGAATTATGTTACATTTAATTAAATCTCGTTAATCTTTAAATTTGAGGGTTTATTTCGGCGACGACTGAGTGGGATCAGTTGCTTACTTCAATTGAGTTTAAGTCGTATATGGCCTGTTTAAATACCCTATTGAGACTGGGGCAGTTGTAGGATGGATTATTGCAAGGCATTTGTGTTTTAAAAAATGTTGTATCCAGTTTAGAATATTTATTGTCTCACAAAATTATGAACCTAAAATAATAATGATAAAATATAATTATTGGTGCTAGTTTGGAAAGTTAGGTAATTCTCATAAAACTATATTATATACTATCGAAATTTTGGTAGGTAAATATTACTAAACTATACACAGGAAAGAGTACAGTAAATAGAATGTTTAAGGGATGTAATTACGTACCTGTTACAACAAAAAGTTCTCAAGTTTATTTAAGAAATGCTAGACTATTTCTTTTATATAATATTAAAATGTGTATTAAATAATATTATTTATGTTGTAATGTGTATTTTATATAATATAATTAATATAATATTTTATATGTAACATCTAATAATATAAAAATGTTAAGTTGGTTTCTGTACGCTCCAAAAACTTAAAAAAGTTCTTCACTGATTGAGCTCAAAATTTAACACGATATACAACACGCTTCAGAGATCATTTTTATTCCTTATACCTATATTTTCGCGTTAGTTTTGTTACCCATTTCTCTTAAATGCAACGATAAATGTGCCACAGCACACAAGTAAACAATATAACCGTGGGAGAGCCACGCTTCGCTAGAAATCTGCCGGCTCAACCGGAGTGGTACCATGGCCTCATAGAAAACCCTTGTTAAGCTATACGTTTCTTTTACTTTCTGCTAAATCTCTTTCTCCTAAATCCGATGGCGGTATAGGTTCTCCCGTCCTCCTCTCTTTCTGAATCTGGTGAGAGGGACTCAAAGGGCGGCAACGCACTGGTGGCTCTTGAGTTGCGCCTGTCACTCACGTTGCATCCGGACAGGACAGGCATGACATAGACAGGCCATGGGCGGCGGTAATCGCTTACCATCAGGTGACCGGTCTGCTCGTTTGCCAACACAAAAAACTTGTATAAATTAATCCAAATACTTATATTACACTAAACCTGTTTACGTTTGTTTACGTAAATAATTTTTACCAACATAGTGCCGTGGGATAAAAGCGCGTTTATTATCTTTATTATGTCAATAAGGAAAATGACGCACAAAAAATAGTACACAATTTAAATATTTTAATAATATCATTATAAAATTATCTTGTTTGTAATTTACTTTTATACCTACTAATAGCAGTTATAACTGCTTTACAGTGGGTCATATCATTTTACTTCCCCCAAAATATATAGGTAGATGAAAAAAGTTTTTTTATAAATTGCCTTATTTTATTATTATTTTTTACAATATATTAAATATATAATTAATAAAATCTATGTATAACTTGCCACGCTTTGCTGTGGAACATTGTTGTTGCATTGATGAGAAATGAAGAACAAACTTACATGAAAATGGTTAAAAACAACAAATAAAAAAGTTTGTATATCAAAACTTTTTGAGTTTTTGAAGCGTACACAAACTAACTTAACATTTTATATATTACCTGTAGAAGATATTAAAAATCTCAATAAATACAACAAAGATGGGTTAGTTACTTACACCATTTATACCTCAAAAACGGCAAGAACGACTTTTTGAAACGAAGGAACGAACGAAATTTTAAAATATTTTACAAAATCGCAAAAATGAATGATAAAGAAAATTGATAAAGAAAAATCATTTCTCATATACCTACCTACCTACCTACCTACCTAAGTGTATCAAATCTAACAGCGATAAAGAGCTAAGTTGTGACTAAAAACAGATGAAACTGCGACGCAATACAAGTCTACAAATAAAACTTATGATCATGGTTCCTTATTAACATTTTCGGAGTCAAAGAAATTGCTACCCAATTCCTACACAAACCGGGACTGAACCTTTCTTCATTAGCGGGTTTAGTAGACCCATCAAAAATAATTCGGTATTCTTAGTTTATTATGTCTCTTCTGTCGCGTGCAGAAGATAATTTTACAAAGAATGGAACCGAATCTTTACTTCATTACTTTAAACCCGTATTTTTTTTTAAATATTCTACCTATTTTTATAAAAATATGTTCAAGGTTGCTATAAGGTAAGCTTAACATCAAAACAATCTTGACTAAAATAAACAATATGTATAATAATAATAAACAATTGCAGGTTATAAATACATAAATGTACTACCTGACTCATACTTTAAAGCAATTATATTAAAACAGCTGACCCCTGCGCAACTTTGTCTTCGTCTTTTAAAATAAATAAATATGGGTTCTATTTAAATGCAAATCAAGAAATCTTCTTTATCTTATACAATAAAAAAATCACATCAAAAATACTAATTGCACAGCAAAATAGGTGCCTAAAGATATTATATTTAGTGCAACAATTTGAGTTAATGTACACACATATAATGAGTTAATGTATATATATATAATAAGAATATAATAATAATATTTCGTATATTTAAACCTTAAAAATACGTATTGGTTTACTAAACTACGCTGGCCTGGCCAGACGGGTTGTACAAAAATAGTTATTTTGTTATAAGTATGTGTGAGTTTTACTGTTGTATGCTCTGGGTAATTTGATGTACAGTCAAAAATTTGGTTTATTTGCAGTTAAATAAGTTATTTGATATAAAAATCATTTAATTCATGAATATAAATTGATGGGTAATAAGTTATTTGAAGTGCATTTAAAAATATATAGCTATAAATATTCCCCGTTTTTACTATTAGTCGTAGCGTAATGTTATATAGCCCATAGTCTTCTTCAATAAATGGGTAGTCCCTTTATTGAAGAAGACTATGGGCTATATAACTCTCTATATAACAGTAAAATATATATTCTTGTCTTTTTTTTTAAATATACAATTCCGTAGTACATTATTTACTACGGAATTATTTGCTTTACAAGATGAAGCCAGCGTAAGCAATATAAGCGCACAAGAACATGTTTTTACCACATCATAGTACAAATCTTTGAAATTATCGGATTTCCTCTACTTTAATTTGCATGTATTTTACATAGAAACCTTCCTCTTGAATCACTCTCTCTTTAGATGAAAACAGCATCTGTTGCGTAGTTTGAAAGATCTAAGCGAACAAGAAGCAGAAGCGACTACTACTTTTATACTATGTAAATAAGATAAAGAAGAGACTCGTATTTGCATTGTTCTGTAGTGGTGGTCATATTGCAAATGACGACCATGTTTACTTTGTTATTACTCGTCATAACTTCAAAACGGATTGACTAATTTATATTATTCTAACATTTGAATATATAGCCTAAATTACTAATTAAGTTATATTGATAAGGATTAATATCATGACATCGTTAGAATCACTTTTTGTTTTGATCTATATTTTAGTTAACTAATTTCAATAAAAATGTAGCTAAACCATACTTAATATTTAGATTTACCTCCTCGCGGATTTTAGTACGTTCAAAGTATATCATATTTCTTTATCTATCAATAGTTTTTGCAGCGCACGCGAAGAAAGTAAATATTTTTAGCAATTTTTTATACCTGGCTTGATATTATCGTCATTCTTATAGGTTCTTAATTATATTTTCAAAATTAAATTTAACCTATGTTACTCGCTGATAATGTAGTTTTTTATAGATGAAAGAATTTTTAAAATTTTGCTAGTAGTTTCTTAGCCTATCAATTACAAACAAACAAAGAAAAAAATAATCTCTTCATAATATTAGCACAAACAGAAACCTCAGTTCAAAGACCTCAGAGACACCGGTCGTCTTTTCCGGCGCGAATCCAACACGCAGCAGATTGTTACCAAGTTACTTATGTACAAAAACAGCAAAATAAAAAAGAAATAATACTTACTGAAATTATGTGTTACTCTTTAATATTAGTATTTCTTTTTAATTTGTATATATTGTATATATTTTTTGCGTTCAAAGGTAAAATTTAAACATTCTGAAGACGCGTGTAGACTCTCACAGCAGAAGTACTAATGAGGTGCTGGCCATGCCTCTGTATGCATTAATTAATTATTAAAGCCAAGTGACAAAACTTTTTCACAAACAACCTGTATTACGTCACAAGGTTGTGTAATGATAATTTAAATTACGGATTTATAGTAAACTAAGGGATTTTTTAAAGTGCACATCAAAGAACTCATCACCCATGAATTTATATCCAACAATTAAATGATTTTAAAATCAAATCAAAATTTTTCGCTGCAAATAAACCAAGTGTTTAACAAAACTAGTTTTATTTATTTATATTTATAATATTTATTTATTTGACCAATACAATGTTACACATGTGTGTGACGGATTAAGAATACGGAATGTCTGCCTTGCTGTTCTAAGGAGAGGCCTATGTCCAGCAGTGGACTATTAAAGGCTGTTGATGTTGATGATGATGACATGTGTACACATTGTGTGTATACATTGTGTTGGACATGTTTATTCAAAATAGTTCTAAATAGTTCTTAGACAGTAGTTTCGATAATCCTTAGGTAAACTACGGTTAAACTATGAAATTATATTGATACAGACTTTTTACACATGAATAAATAAATATATATATATATATATATATATATATATATATATATTAATTTTTTATATATATATATATATATATATATATATATATATATATATATATATATATATATATATATATATAAAATTTAGTTCAAAAACGTTAATCTAATACTAGAAATAATTTAAAATATACATCAACAATGTATAATATTTTTCCTCAAAATACG